TATATGTAGTGTGTGTGTGTGTGTGTGTAGTATATATATATATATATATATATATATATATATATATATATATATATATATATATATATATATATATATATATATATAATATATATATATATTCATACATACATACATACATACATACATGCGTGTGTGCATGAATGCTTGCATGCATACACAAGTAAATATATACATACATATACACATACTTGCGTACATACAAGCATGCATGAATTCATGCTTACACGCGTACTTACATACGTACATATACACATACTTGCGTGCATACTTGCGTGCATGCGTACATACATGCATGCATACATACATTTATACGTACATACATACATCATACATACATACATACATACATTTATCCATATATACATGCATACATACATACTTACATATACGTATATATATATGTGTGTGTGTGTGTGTGTATGTGTGTGTATGTAAGTTTGTGTACTCTATATATATATATATATATCTATATATATAGATAAAGATATTGATATAGATCTATAGATATATATATAGATACATAGATATAGATAAGCGTTTATATATTATATATGTACATATAGATATATATATATATGTGTGTGTGTGTGTGTGTGTGTGTGTGTGTTTGTTGTGTCTGTACCTGTGTCTGTGTCTCTTTTTTTGTTTGTATGTATGTATGTATGTATCACCCATGTATATATATATATGTACGTACATAACCGTAAATGAACAGATATACATTTTTATCCGTTTGAAACACATGTGCTTGCACGCTGTTAAAACTATGTATAACTATGATACGTATTAACGCATACAGCAAGCTTAAGTTGGGAGGGAAGTATCACACAATCACCATCTTATATATCGTCGTGGGTTTCGATTTGTCAGCTTTTAATCTCTGACTCTTTGATATTTTAACACAAAAAAATTATGTGTGTTCTATCGCGTCTTCGGGGTTTGATGATGTTATTGGTCATAATAAATAGGATTTGCGATTTGGGTGCTGTGTAGTGTAAGCGCAGTCTAATATTTGTACTGCTGTATATACGTCCTTAACTTTAGTTCCGTATTCATAATTATCATAGTATACATGAGAACAAGTAGCAGATTCCGAAAAGGTGCAATGCAGGTATGTGCAACGTTGTAGTCCGTTGAAGTATAACATTGGCAGATTCCTCAAGGCTAATATCATCGCGTGCCTGTTTGAATATATCTATTCTATGTGTATGGTGATTTGTGTATGCGTTTGGTGGTTAGTATATGCGTTTGATGATTAGTATGTGCTTTGATGATTAGTATATGCATTTGATGATTAGTATATGCGTTTGATGATTAGTATATGCATTTGGTGATTAGTATACACGTTTGATGATTAGTCTATGCGTTTGGATGATTAGTATATGCGTTTGATGATTAGTATGTGCGTTTGGATGATTAGTATATGCTTTTGATGATTAGTATATGCGTTTGATGACTAGTATATGCATTTGATTACTAGTATATGCGTTTGATGATTAGTATATGCAATTAGTGATTAGTATATACGTTTGATGATTCGTATATGCGTTTGATGATCCGTATATGCATTTGGTGATTAGTATATGCGTTTGATGATTAGTATGTGCGTTTGGATGATTAGTATATGCGTTTGATGTCGATATATCTGTGATTGTATACTCTGTCCCTTCAGCATACTCATATTGCCATAATATGTATATCTACACAGGTGGATGTAGGTAGATGCTCATACGAAAAAGCAGTGTGGCAGTACTTTGTCTTCTGTTGCAAAAAGTACCGTCCCTATCGAGCCGTTCTACTTCTTTTGGCCGTTGGATTCATCCCCCCTTTCTCTGTACTTATAACTGCGGAGGTATGTCATCTACAGTGAGGAACCATCGTTATACATTGCATTAGGCGATGTAGGTATTATGTGATGTCCGTTGTATTCCAAAAATAGCATTCGCTTGTTTGTTGGTGGGTATGTCACCACATTTGGAACAGAGACCCCGCGCTTGACGTCTTATTCATAGTTTACTATCAAAATATCTATATTAATAATCTTAATTACACACTGCTAAAAGTGTGAGGCGCTACAGCTCATCTGGCTGCTTGACTTTACACTCTCCACAGATTTACACCGACTTACAACATCCCGATAGGGATCTCGAGATCGGCCTCAAGGTTACCCTGGTATGTATTACCAAGGCTGTGTTGTATATATTCAGGGATGTACATGTCGGCTGCATTTGGACGCTGAACAATACATGATACGCCAGAAGCGTCTGCTTTTAAGTGCGATATCAGCTGCATACGTGCTACTCTCTCAATCATACGAGTACCGGTTTTTTTTATCTGCTCATATCGTGACGTCTACCCGTTCCCACCTGTGAACCAGCTACTCATGCTGGGAGTAGTCACGATGGCGGTCAAGTTCCATGTGCAGCTGACACTCCCCGTCAGCCGCGCTCAGGCACACCTGCGCAATGCGCTGATGACTAAACGACTGCGACTGGGGACTAGCTCAGCCACCACCACATGCGCATGTCCTGATGCGGTTAGTAATGTGCATGAGTGCACTCGTCCTACTTCTAATACATGCGGCAGCACCAACCTGTCTACCCTCGCACATGGGCTGGAGCGCGAACACCGGCTTGTGTTGCAGTGGCCGTCTGCGCGGTTTGGGGTGCTCTTGGGTGAGGCGGATGTAGTCGTCACGCAGCTGTGGGCAACACCACTCAAGCTCTGTATAGAAGTTGGCACGGGGGTCCTTGGTTCGATCGTAGTCATCGCTGTCGTTCTGAGTGCAGACAACGGGACCAACGCCGTCGTGGCGGGCAGTCTGTTGTATGCTGTGGCGCTGGTTAGTGCGGTGTTGCCCATACTTTGTCGCAAGGTACGGCTCAAAACGCTCATGAAGTACTACGAAGAGAGGAGGAAGAGAGAACAGGCCTATCAGTCTATGGCCAATTTCGCGCTGGAACACACCACACAACCAGGCCTCAAGCAGCACGTGTTCACACCCGCAGGCACTACACCGGCATCGCAACCCTCGGGACCGTCTCCATCCGCTTCGATCGCAACCTCAAAGGGAAGTGGTTGTCGCCGGACGGTTACCCAACTTTCTCAATCGGACTCCCGGGATAGGCATATATGGCGAAGATCTATGCATGACAGGGATAGTGTCGTACGTGTCTCGTACTCGGAGCCGCATCTGTACTCTCCAACGCCATCTGTGACTCTGACTGGTGCACCAGGCTCGGCTGTGGACTACACATCTGAGCCAATACGGACACATGCCAGTGAACCATATCTCGGCAAGGATGTACCAAAGGAAATGCGGTCATACTCGCAACAACCTATGTGGAGTCAGGAATATTATGAACTGATGCTAGACACTCATAAGGCCATCATGCTAAGCTCTGTTTCAAACAGGTATGCTCTCTATTTGAAATCGGAGAAGATCCTGCCATGTGGAAAGCACGGTAGTGATTTTCAATGTATATCGTTAGCGACGGTGTGGCTGCTGAAAGCGTAGGCATATTGCATCCAGTTTTAGTGCTTTCCATATCTCTATACGTCTATGCGCTAACATCGGTTCTAGCTTGAGCGTTGTATGATGTCTCTACAATAGTTGGGTTTGGTCTTGATGTGGAAGGGCACATTACAAACTCTCTTTTTTAACCTTTGACTTCGCATTCGGACCATCACAGACGGATGACCATGCTAAATGTTGCCTGGGCGCTGAGCGGTCGTCTTTTTTTGTATTTCTGCTACTTGGTGCTTGTTGTCGTGTTAATAGTAGTCTTCGATAGAGTCAATCTGAATGTGGGCTCGGCTGTCGCGCTAACGGGTCTGAGTATACTCTTGCTAACCTACGCTAATAACATGCTGGATGTGTTCCAACAAATGCCTCTGGGGTATAGCATCTTGCTGGATATAGCTGAGGTCTTCAACACGCCAATTGCGAGCGATTGTGACGTCGGCCAGACTGATCTGCCTGTCAATGCCACTGCCGTTCCATCAGTTGTACAACGCGTGTATTCCAACGCTGGCAATTGATTAAAAGTGATAGATATAAACGTGTACTGTATCATAACAAGGGGTCTGATATACGCATGTGACGGTACATGTTCTCTTTACGGAGAACTGTCTAATGGGGGTTTTTTTTAGATTTTAGCTGTCTAGTGAAGTAACCATTTGACCGAACTGTACAACTGTTGTCAGATTGCAACATAACAGCGGGCTGAAATGAGAAATGAAGTTTGATAACATTGTTCATGCTACCACGTTTATACAGAGACAGTTCAGCTGCAATAGAATAAATCATAGTTTTCTACTATGTGTTAGTTGTTTCGCGTAGTATCCAATTAAAACCTTCGAAAGCAAATAGCTAAGCACTCGGAAGTATTTACACTTGCAAACTGTTTGGGTTATTTACTTTTTTGCAAAGCCTTTGGATCAGGGATTGGGTGGAAAGTTCAACTGTGAAGTTTTTTTGTACTATTGTAATTATGTGTATATATAATTTAACAAAATAAATAAAAGTGTCCTCTGTGGCAAAGTGGTATCGCGTCACACTCGTAATGTGAAGGTCCATGGTTCAATCCCATGCGGAGGCAAATTTATTTCATTTTTATTTATTTTTCTACTACTTTTTTTGTTTCCTTCAACTTTAGCGGCGTGAAACGAGAATCTCTTTCACTGATGCGTCTGTATTTGATTATAGTGCAAGATTGTGAATTTGGGTGCAAAATGTATTAATTCAGTCGCCGAAATGATGTTACATAGTAAAAGGTGTGCTACAACAAACACAATATTGTAATGATTATTCCAGATATAAACACAGTTCGATACCTATAACGGTACATAAACGGGAACTGACAGCTGTCAGAGTGTCAGTCGCATGAACGAATGACAGATAAGACTTTAGTAAAGTTTATACTATACTTACGCGTGACAACACATGACTGGAAACGACGAAACGTATATATAGCCCTCAGTAGATGGATAAATGAATTTCACTCTATAATTGGTTCTATTGTTCTAAAAAGCCATGTGCCTACTTAGATCATCAGATAACAAAAGTGTCTATAAAAAAAAAATTTCAACCACGCAACTCTCTCTTGCGCCAAATGCACTCGCAGTGGTCATAACGCAGCTGCATGCCTACGTAAGCAATACAAAGAGGTACACTGTGGAACAAACTTATGAAATTATACGAATATCTAATCAAGCCGATCCTGCAATTCTCACAGACCGATATACTATACAAATCACTGTATATCATACTGGGCCCACATACCCCACTTCTGTATCGAGCTCTTCCGTTGACTCTAGTGGAATGACTTATATTTGAAGTATTACAACCGCCACTTCATCGTCGAGTTTACTGATTAATACCAAACTACCCTTACTCAACGCGGACGACTCCCAGGCTGCCTCAAGCGGACCAAAACACTCGTATCTGTTCGCCTCATACAGCAGAATGGCTTTCATATCATATTTCCTGTCCAACAAGACTATACATTACCCACAGTGTTTACTATCAAACACTACCATGACACTATACAACGTGTCACTTCCATTAGTGGCCTTTATAAGATTTTTGCATTTGAGCCTTCTCCACTTTCAGATTGGCACGAGACAATGAGACACACATCCGCATATCACTCTAGCAGCACTCAAGCAGAACAATATAGACACTTGTGTCAAACACAACTCTACCGACATTGGAAATTGCACCTCGACTTATTTCAGAAACATGTCGTTGAACCCTTTGGTGCCGTTGAGATCGACTTATTTGCGAGTGCGAGCAACACGCAGGTTTCTGTGTACTGTAGTATCGAAGCCGACGCCCCTCTCCACGACGGCTTTGTACAAAGCTGAAAACAACCTAAGGTCTATCTTTAAGGAAATATACCCTACACTAAAAATGCATGGAGCGCAACCCTCGCTAAGCTATATAGCAAAAACGGATTTGTCACTGTCGTATTCTTATTATCACTCAACACCAAGTGCTACAAATAGACGTTACAGAAACCACATTCTCATCGCGCCTAAAATCCGAGACATTCCTTAGGGACGGAAACGAAGTGGTTCGCAAACCAAAATGGCGTTACGTCTGTGTTGCCAACATCGCACACACTGTACCACTTGCGGCAGAGCTTCTCACCACACAGATAGATGTGTTACCACACCTTCACAACCAGTTCTTCTGCAAAACTTGTACCGAAGGCAAATGCGCCGTTGTTCTGCTACGTCGTTGCCAATGCCGCACATACTGTACCATCTACGGCAGAACTCCTCACCGTACAAGTAGATGTGTTAGCACACCCTCACGACCGGTTCTTCTGTAAAACTTGTGCCGAAGGCAAAATATGCTGTCGTCCTAAATCAAACACCTTGAAAGATCCCGATACGCGCCCGTCCGTTGGTACAGTTTTCTATGTTGATCTGGAAACTAGTCTTCCGTCTTCTGTGAATGCATGTACGACCAACATTAAATGCGTGGATAATAACCAATTCTGGTATGCCATTTGTATATCCTTCAATGACGAAGGATGACGCCGCCGACACCCTTGACCAATTTTACATAGACATCTGCAAGGATAAACTCGAAAACTTCCGCGCAAGTTACTTGCGTGTCTACATTCTTCTCTACACGGCCTTGTGGAGCGTATCAACGGGACATTAAAGACACTATGTGCTGTCTCCTCCAGCGCTCCGGCCAACCTCAAAGTATGTGGACTGAAGCGATCATCTAGTGTAACAAGCGCAACCGCGACAAAAAGTCCTCTTGGGAACTGTTCTGGAGGGAGAGTCCAGTCGCGCGATTAAATCAATGCACATATACGGATGCCAGGTGGCTTATATCTAACAGGGCGAGCAAGGCAGGCTGGATGACCGTATCACTCTCGGCGTATATCGTGGTCATGATACACAGTCCAAATATTACGATGAAAGCAGTATATTCGGTGCTAAACCTAGCCATTATTGTCATTCCCGTGATGTCCAGTTCAATGACCAAGTATTTCCGACCTGAACTTCAGTTGCCACCACGCCACTTCCCAAGCCAGTCCCGATGTTCCTATCATGAGGATAATCACTCAGGCTATTAATCCCACCAATCCTAACATCGAGGCCGTCGACCCCTTCACACTACCTCTCTCACACCTGCCACATCAGACCCATACTTATTGCCCAAATAGTCGACTTCTATGAGGCACGCGACAGATGAGGCACGCGACAACACTTCAGTGGAGGTTCCCGACACAGATTCCGTGGAAGATCGAAGTCGATTCTGAGGAGGAACCTGACACGTCTCCGGCAGGCTCTGCCAACAATACCACCTTGCCTACCGCCAGCACGTCTGTACCTTCTCCCGCGGCATCCTCTACTATGGATGACACTGTAAATGCGAATCTACAATCCCATATCGCAAAACATCCTTCAACTCTAGGTGGCGGGGCGCTGGGAGTAGACGTGGTAGCACGTGGTATAGCGGCGAACTCTGTACCCTGGGACAGGGCATCTGTGCCTACATTTGCACCGTTCTTTCCGAGAGCAGTCACTACGAATGAAGTGGTCTTTTTTTTCGCTGGCGTTGCCCTGAGTACCTTGATTAGGGAGTTTCACGACAGGCGCAGTAGTGGCATTATTGGAAGCAGAACTTGTATCTGCTGTTTGTGTTTCGGGTTGCAGAGTTCGATAAGAATTGCGTGACAGTCTCGAGACCGCCTACATGAGACAGGGATGAGTTCGGTCAATACTGAGAAGCTGATGTCTTTTTTAAATGTGGCAAGCGCCTCAGGGCGCATTGGGTTAGAGAGTTTGGTCATTAGAACATATGTTAAGATGGTTTACAATAGCGGAGGTGTCTTCACGGAAAGTGGGGGTCTCAAGAACTTGGACCAGTGGGAATAAAATCAAAGCTTGCAAGAAGTCAGCTTGCGAGTGGAATATCTCGCGCTTGCTCTTGATGGTGGCGACTATGTCCTTATTGAGACTGATAACATCGTTGTCATTGGACGTTGCGGTTGGTGAACGATTAATTTTCTTGAAATCGAAAATTTTGACTAGATGTTTATTTGCGGTAACGATACCCGAGAGTTTCTGAATATTCCCCAGAGATTTTTTTTTGGATTTCCTCGAGTACCGTGTTAACAGAGTGGCATGGAGTAATTCCAAGAGTCAACTGTATCGTAAATACACCGGCTTGCCTCTCCTGACGATTAACAGACTCTTCCAGAAGTGTATTCTTAGCAGTGAGGTCTTGGACTACAGTAAGTATAGTAGCGAGTTGGCCCTGATTGACGAAGCGGATGAGTCATTCGAAGATGTTCCTCTCCCTTCCAAAGTCGTATTGGACTGGTTTGCAGACACAATCACATTCTCCTAGACTATCGCAGATGGTGAAGAGGGCTCCATCACGTACATTATCTTATCCTACGATACTCGTAGCCATGACTACCACCCCATGCAAATATTTGTGGGCCTCAGCTTTAGTTTTGTAGCCAAGTTTATTTGTAAATAGCTGTCCGTTTCTTAAATCCATTGACCACATTCGTAATATGAGGTTGAGTAGATGGTTATCTGTGGATGATCTAATACTGTCAGTGCTAATCCATTACCCGTACAGTATCTACCAACAGATTGGGTGATAATATCCCCTTTGTCAGAGAGGGAACTGACTCAGGCATTATGAACCTTCTTATGTAGATACTTTCTGATCTAAAAGGAGCACGTAGACCCTCGACATAATGTGAACATAGATTTAGATTTTATATCTTCGCTAGAAGAATGGCGAATACATGATTTACTACGCGTTGGTTATTGGTATACTTATTCTTTGTCTTTGCGCTGGACACACATTGACACCTGTGGAACAGATTGACCCCTTTACACATATACTCATACACACTACCAAACATGCTTTCACTATCCAGTGGCTCACCTTTACAGATTTGTAAACACGCTTTATGGGCAGATAGACATGACCTTCTATGGACCTGAAGTACAATAAGTATCTTAGATCCACCATATAGCCACATACACTCTTACACTCTAAGGACATCTAAGACAGAGGGATGCCTGAAGTTAGAGGTTTAAGACCAGTCCTCACCTTTGTCTCGACATCAAAGCTTAGATTATAATGTCTTACACCCCTTCGGGATATACATTTCTTTTACTTTGAGATCTAGTATCCCTCTCCATTTGGTATTGTCTGAGTTTTATGTGTATATGTATACGTAGTCGTGTCAATATATCGGAGTGACTTTGATGATCCCTTTGGGAGCACCCAAAACGATAAAAGATGCCCAGTCATAGCCAAGTATGTATCTAAGATAGCTAGTATACAAAAAATAAAAGAGAAAATCAGTACAAGGTCAAGGTATTATGTAATTAGACCAACGATCTGAGATATGACCTATGAGATATGACCTATGAGCTATGAGCTATGTATGATCTATGCCTCAAAGGAACAGGACCATAGAACTGTGTAGCTGCTAGGCTATTTCAAAGGAGCCAAAAGGGTCATGGATTGAGGAGAGAAGGAACAGACATGCCAAAGGCAAGGAAGAATAATAGCATTTATTGTCACTAGAAGTAGAAGTAATAAGAAACTATACTATTGTATGATCTGTAAGGAGTCAAGTGTCCTATGATGACCCTCACCTTTCAGAGGGGGACCTAAGAGGTTAAGGTACCGTAGTCTAAGACGTGCTATACTATTATGAAACTCCGGTGTTCTTGGGTATTTTTATTGCACCACCGATTGTGGAAGATATCGGAATATTTCCCAGGTGGAACTATATGTGAACTATACAGAATCTTATCCTACCGCCTAACATATCAGTTCTTCTATGATTTAGTTTAAACTGTTAGCCACCTAATAATCTCAAGTATATCAACCGCCCTCAAAGGTTCTTTCGTTTAAAAAACAGGATTACTTCCCTTTCTCATAGTTATAGTTATATATGATATATGATAGGATTTAAACATAAAGCGATAGTTTATGCTATCTTGGTGCAAGAAGGTAGGGGATAGGGGTCCCATTCTCCTCTCATTTTCTTGGGATGTAGGTAGTTCATATATATGGAGATAGAACGTGAGTTAGTTCTACTACTATATAGGGACACATACTTGGAGCTATAATAGAACCTACAGTATATAGACTGGCTAGTATTACACCCTAACCTATATTACCTCACTCTATGGAAGGTGTACCTGTAGAATAAACTAATGAGTCAGGAGTGATGATTCTAGTTGCAAGGAAACTTTATATTCGAAGAGATAAGGGAAGTATATAATATAGACTGGGCGAGTTTACCCGAGGTAGTGATACCGGAGAGTGTAGTGCTAAGAGTAATATTAATTTTGCAGTTAAACTTTAAAGGGTAAGTTCTTACCTTAATGATTAGTATGTAGATGGATTATTATCAATGGGTTGGCAGGTAAGTTGATGTGGTAGAAAGAAATGGTATGATCATTGGTAGAAAGGGTGGAGAAATTCCCTGTCTGTGTCCATAAGTGCAAGTAACCTTGAGAGACTAGAAGCAGTGGATATCAATTAGACGTATCATTGGAATCTGTATAAAGTAGATGGTGGGAACCTTGGGAAAACTATGTTAATCCGTTAGCACACATTCCGGTGTGTGGGTGATATGAGTATTCTATTAGTGGCCCGAGGCCTCTCGAAAACTAGATCGCTCATCTGAAACCCTTCAAAATACTAGTATAGTATAGTGCAACACTAAACAGTAGTCACTGAACTACACAGTATGGTAGGCCTACGTATCCCTGTATATCGATAGCCTAGATAGCTATCCAGTGTAATAGTCAATGAGGCAGATGCCCGAACAACCAATTCAATCAACAGTGTCTAGTGGAGGCCTACGAGTCTGAAACGATAGACGAGAGTAAAAATAGTTGAGGGATGGTCGTCATGGCTACGATGATCAAAACAGATAGATTCAGAGGATAACTATAGCTATAGAGATGCATACTCAGGGGGTATCACAACCGATAAAAGGTAACCTGCCTTTCCTCAGTTCAGCTCCATAAATAGTGTCCTATTAAATACATATTGATATATTTCTTAAGACAAAAGAATTAGTATACTCTGATACTGCATCTGAACTACTGTCGAGATCTGTAGCGAGGTAAATTTATCGTAGTCACAGTATTAAGTAAATGTAAGAAGGGAGCTCAGATTGTTGATTAGTGTGCTAGCTCAGAAAAGAGAGACATAATCGTTTTAGGTCTACGAATAACTAGCAGTGTAGGTTAGATATAATACTAATTACAGACACCAGTACCACAGTAGAAGTTACCGGGTGTCTAGTAAGAATATCTCCGAAAGATGATAAGGAGTCATAGTCCTGCACCCCAGTGGAAGAATACTAAAGGCAGATGGTCTATAGTGTTAGGGCATACGACTAGAGGATAGCTGACCTAACTGGGTTTGAGATTGTACCCAAGTGGTTAAGTAATAAAAAAAAATATCCAGAAATAGTGTCTTCCAAGGTACAAAAACACTCTTAGCCTATCTCCTTTAATCTCCAACAGTACTACTTTAAAACCAGCCTATTCTTGTAGGAGCACGAGGATCACCATGTATCTATCTATACTCAGTTCAAGTTAGAGGGGTACCCGGGGACTTTTTATACTCTGGCACTGTGTATTATATTTTCATAGTCTCCCCTGGGAAACTATCACCCCCTACTATGAAGTATACATAAGAAAGTGAATAGCCTGTATGGTAGCCTTCATCAGTGGGAGAGAACTAAGGTTATTTAGGAGGGAATCCCTTCGGCTTCCCCACAGGTCACCTGTCAACGTGGTCTGCGAGCTTAGAATAGTGACGACTCCAGTGAAGTCAATAAGTATGCCAATAAGGAATACTCATCTACCCATAACATATACTAATGCATTACTCCCTGGTAGGAAGGAGACTAGAAAAGTACTTACTTTGTACCATAGTATCCATTAACTATACTCTAATTAATTTATTAATATACCCAACTAATTAGAATATAGCCCATATATTGCCCCCCTTGTAGCATTACTGTTTACCCCTAAGCTATGATTTGTATAGATTTATCTGTCAGAAGATACAAAACGTTATATCGTGAAGCAACATTAAACACGTGACAGAAATACGTATCTTTCATGGGTTCGGACATGGGCAGCTCAACCAAATCAATGGTACCCCGGCATTACGGCTCAAACATATGTCAGCATCATCAAATAGGTATCCTCGCACGAATTCGGTCATCTTTCGGTGTCTCACCTCGTTGATACCTTGTGTCTTGAGGTTTATAAGGTACACCCATTTTGCGCCAGGTGCTTGCAACGAGTAGCAGTGTCGACATGACATATCCTGTGAATTCACTAACGTTGTCAGTGTACGCTATAGCTGGCCAGCCAAAATCTGCAAAACACTTATAGATGCTCTCAGCCACAGTTTGTATTGGTTTATCTATCAGAAAATACAACACGTTATATCTTGAAGCAGCATCAAACACGTGACAGACATACTTATCTTTCGTGGGTTCGAACATGAACAGCTTGTTGTAAGTCGCATATAACTGTATCTAAACGTACTCCCCTCATGCAAGGGGAGACGTCGTTCCTTTATTAACAATCCTTATAATAATACATGAACCCAAACTTGCATGTGCTTTTCCGATCATTTATAAACCAAGTTAGCAGATCTTAAAAATAATAACTAAATAAACCAACATTAATCAAATTAACACTGTTTAGGGTATTCCGACCACCCTCCCCCCCCCCCCCCCCCCCCGCAAGGTGAAGCACGCGTAGTGTGTCAGATTAGAGAAAAGGAAACTCGGGGGTGCAGGTATTTTTCCTCAGAGAGCAGTGTGCTTGCACTAGAGGACCCGAAGTAACGTCTCGAGCAACCTGTCGTTCTGGATATATATAACTATGTACAAAAAAATGCTAAATCTGGTCACGGCGTCGTTTACGCATGCGCGTCTGGGAGTCTTTGTGGTACGCCACAATATCATTGGCATCGTCAAATGCCTCCGCTATTTTCCACATTGGTTCGCCCTCGCGCCATCGTACCAGGTATTCGAGTTTACCCGTCTCATCATTTGTGCAGTGTCTGATGATGTGTCTAATCTCGAACCTGCCCTCTTGCCATAACGCATCGTCAAGCGGTGGGTCCGTACTACGGTGCACTAACCGGAAGAGTTCTCCCGTAAAGGTTTACCCTTGAATTCGGATGGAGTCCACCAGTCTTTAAAACAATGTATGAGCCGAACAATGGACGCTCAGACTTCACCACAACCATCACGACATCTTCTTCATCGAAGTGCACCAGGTCGTGGGCTTGTCGGCGATCAAAGGTCTTTGTCAAGTTGTTCGGATCTTATGCAGCATAGGAAGGATCGTATCCCGCAATTGGTCTAAACGTTGTACCCATGTATCGTTGATAACAAGTTGAGCTTCGGGTGTAGCGTCGGTGAAATCAGCGAAAGGGACGTTTCGTCGACCGAAATATACACTAAAGGGAGCACTCTTGTGTCTACGCGAGATGAGGAGGTTCTGGTATAAGAGGGCGTTCGTTCCATGCCTGTGGTATCGCCTAGCAACACATCCGAATTGAACGTGTGATGATCTTGTGGCGACGCTCCACCGCTTTCAACATCTGTGGGCGATATGGTGGTGACACCTTGTGTAACATTCCGACTTCCTTCACTATAAGTTTTACTATGTGTATCTTGTTTGTGAATTTCGACCCCATGCCCGTCTGTATCATGCGTGGAAATTCATGTTCACCAGAAATCTTTATCAATGTTTGCACGTTGGTCTCTATGGTCTTGTCCGGGGTGGCGCGAAGGATTGAAAAGCCCGTGGCTACATATAGTACGTGTAATATAGACTTGTTCTTCTTACGGTATATGATCGGCATTGGGATGTAATACACTTGGATGTGATCCCAAGGGTACCGTGCATCAATTCTGATCATCGGGTGGAAACCTTTGGTAGCGTATCTTGACCTAGGCATACTCCACACTGTCGTTTAACTTCCGTTGCTAGCTCCAATGTCCCAGTCCACACATGTCAATTGTTCCGTAGTTGTTGAACTGCGTCTGCCGCTCTATGGTGGCCTTCTTCGTGCTGGGCCTGCGTCAGTTGTGTCCGTCGCAGTTGTTCGTCTGGGGTGGCCTGTGCGAACGCTGATTATCCTTATGTGTTAGCCATGGCTACAGACAAATCTTGCTTTGTGTCTAAGCATCGGTGTTGGTATGTGACGGGGCTCTGCATATCCGAGTCGATGTGAGAAACGCGGATCCAGCTCAAATCCACGTGACCCCAAGGTGTCTTCCCGCACGCATACTTAGCGTACTTCAAAAGGCATGTGGGATACGAGGCGCTAACACCAGTTCAGCCTGAGGTAACTGTGTAAGGTCAAACCATGGCGCTCGTGGCACCCACGGAAGACACACCGTGGCACTCGCTCCATCCGCTCTTATCTTGCGAAGCATCTGATGTATTAACTTCGATGGATGGTATGTTTATGCATTCATCTACTAAGGACCAATTATGGTCAAGCGCCCAGTTCCGATCATTCTTTGTCCAAAACCGGAATAGTTGTGCATTACATGGTGCCGCAAATACGTCAATGTTGTTAGCCCCGAAGATCTTTTGGGCTTGCTCAAAGTAATTGAGGAATAGCTGTCAACAGTCTACGTACAGTATCTCCGGCACATCGATCCCCGCCGTACCTTCATGCGCCCTACTGAGTGTATCCGGTAACACATTCGCCTCTCCCGGAATGTAGGCGATTGCAAAATTAAATGGTGCAATTATATGATGCCACCGTTGTAACATCAGATTGAGCTTGATCTATGTGTTCATGTACACCAATGTCCTGTGGTCTGTAAAGATCGTAAACCGCTGTCAATCGAGGTGGTCGTGAAAGTGAGTCAAGCAATACACTAATACCAGTAACTCCTTCATAGGTGTAGCGTAGTTCTGTCGGGTATGGTTCAATGTCTTACCATCAAGTAGTGCTTCTTTCATTCAATCCACTGAAAGAACGCGCCGCCTATTCCATAGTTACCTGTATATGTCTCCGGGTTCGACGGCTTTCCCTCCACTGGGAAGTGTAACGCTACTGCATTAACAATTGCAATCTTCATCGCCTGCCATGCCTCTGTATGTCTCGGTTCCCATCGATCGCCAATCAACTCATTGGACTTGAGTTTACAGAACTCTCATAATGGGGCCACCACGTTCACGAAGTTTGGCAAGTGTTCATGAGGGTAATTTGCCAAGCCTAGCGCCGACGCTATGTCTTTGTATCGTTGCGGAGTAGGCCAGTAAAGTAGCTTCGCCTGCTTCCCAAAGTCGACGTCGATACCTTGTACTGACACCTTCATACCCAATATCATCACTTCTGCTATCGCAAAGTGGTACTCAGCCAGATAGAGCTTGAAGCTATGGTACGTAAGGCGTCTGATAACTCCCTTCACCGTCGCCATGTGTTCGTCGTTGTCGTCACTCGCAACTATTGTGTCATCTATATAATGATGCACCAATAATCCATCGAGTATGGTGCTCAATGTATGGTGCTCAATGTGCGCTGAAACTGTTGCGTCAATGCATGTAAACCGAAAGTACCTCTCGCGTGTGAAGCCAAACAAATATCTTGAATCCGGATGAATCGGCAACCTATGGTATGCGGCCGATATGTCCAGGGTCGTGTAAGATTTCTGGCTTTGTAGCCGTGAGACAATTTTGTTAACCTTCGGGATTAGGAATTGGCACCCCGGAATACGAGCATTATCTGTGTGGTCAAAACCGAGTGACACTTAGTAAAGAGTGTTAAGTCAGAAATAAGTGAACTCAGTCAGAAGTGCCGTTATGATCGGCGCGTCTGCTGTATTTATTATTACGTTCCTATATGGAACGAAATTTTTTCTAATAATGGGTAATTATGAAAATACCCGTATCTATGGTTTTCGTCTCCTGGTTACTAAATTATGATGACACCGTATGAGTCATCTCTATGGTTGTCGTCTCTTAGATACTAAATTATGATGACACCTTCTGAGTCATCAATCTCTCATAATAAATTCCTCTGTCTCAATATCAGGTCTGGTCCCGCTGAGTCCGGTCCTAGAATATTCTACTCAGGTCCGGTCCTTTGGTCCGGTCCTGAAATTCCACTTGTAGGTCGGGCCCTCTGGTTCGGTCCTAAATGTCCGTCCTAAGTACTTTGTCCACAACTGCTCTCATACCCAAGCAGACCCTCACCTTCTTCACCTTTCCCTCACTGTCAAGCGTCGGCACTGCCAGCAATGGAAGGTTGTCCGTCGCTGGTGTCGTGCGCTTCGTGCTTACTATGTCCTTCAACCATTTTTGGATCTGCTCGTCGACATACGGTATCCATCTATCATCTACGCATGCTCATCGCTTGGTCTCGTGTAACCGGAATCGATACCTCGCTCCTCTCGAGGCGACAGCGTACGTTGTCAGCAATAGCTGCGTTCGCCTCTAGTTCTGCTGCTAACCATTGTCGTGCTCCAGCCGGTTCCGTTGTATTGGGAGCTTGACGTTGTGGTTATAGTTCAAGGAGGGCATCTAACTCTGTGGCATCTATCGGTGCGAGGGGTGATTGAATACCACTTACGTACAGTCCGAGGCCTTCATCATGTCTTGCCCCAGGATAATGTCTATACCATTTGATAAGTTCATCAGTTCCAGTGAACGATCTATGATTTCTGTATCATATCGGAGAGGTAGAGTTTCCGTCGTCCCCAGTGGCGGAGTTCGTACCGCCTTGTCAGCTATATAAATAAACGACCCAGGTGATGCTGGAGCTATGGGACGGCCTAATAGTTCTGCGGATGTTGTCGCAATGCAGCTTCTGTTTGTTCCCGTATCTACTAGTACTTGGACGTGCGCCCGTTCAGTTATAGTTATATATAGATCCGGTTATCCGTTGTGAGTACTGGGTCTTTAATCGCCACTACTTCACTAAGCATACTAACAAATATCAAAGCTACATCCGCGTCCGACAGCCCTACCTCTCAGTGCGCCTCTGGTACCGGTGTCCAAATGGACTGTTCAGGATTGGCCAACTGATATGCGTCTCTGTTGCTAACGTCGGTGGTGTCCATGCATTCTTTTATGTTGTCACTGCAAGGGCATGTCTGGCCGGGCCGTTTCCCTGACCTGGCCCTGGTATATGTGCGGTGGATGTACGTTGGGCCGCTGCTGCATCGCGGAATTGCCGCCCCTGCTTCTGAGATCGCGTGCGATTGTCACCTGCCCCATTAGGCCGATACTCGATAATTGTGGCATCGCACGATGTGGCGCGGATCTGGTGGGGCCTGTGTATGACAACCGATGCATGTTGTAGTTGTCGGCGCTTGAGGTTGTTGCTGCCAGGTTTGTGTTTGGCGCTGCCCTGTTTGATTGTGTTGTGAATGGCTAATAGTTGAGTCAGCTCGTGATCCTTCCCCACCCTGTAACCTGCGATTAGCTAAGCGAGCCGAAGTGCGTATCTGCGCCTCTTGTATGTCAGGGCTTAACAGCTGAAGCAGTTCGGGTGTTTCCGATAGTTACCATTTCGGGCGTAGCTGTAGCGTGCGCTTGCATGGGTGTAAATCCAAAGTCACTTCCAATAGATGCACTATGCAATGGTTCAATAGGTTCTGCTGAAACTCAGCGTCCGTCTGACAACGTTCGCGGACACGACGGCGGTTTTCAATCAAGTAAGTCGTTTGTTCCATTATTGGTACGTTGGCCAGCTTGGCGTGTCTCTTGGCGAGCTTGCGGAAGGTTGGGTCCACGATTGCTTGGATCTCATGCGAGCATATCTGAGTTATCTGTAACTCAGGAGTCCGTGCTACCAATTGCTGATGGTTAGCCTTGATATAGTCGAGTGTCGACTGTCCCGCCTTAAAATGATTCAGCACTTTATAAAACCACTGCAAGCTCCATGCCTCATCGAGGCCGGAGATTTGTGCATTCTTAAGGTATCCCCTTCCATGATAATATGTAAGTGATAACTGTTCGATGGCCATTCGGGCCAACTACGTTGTTCACGTGGTTCACGCTTGTCAGTCGGCCTAGACTCGTGGGTAGCCCGCAGTGTTCCAGCACGCCACGTGATGCTTCTGCTCGCGGTAAGTTGTTGTCTACGACTGCTAGACACAGCTCTTCCGACAATTTCAACATACGTGCATGTAAGACCTGTCGATTTGTTGAATTACTCTCCGGAGTGGGTGCCGGTGGGACAGGGGCCTTCTCTTTGCTTACTGGCGGAGAGGTATTCTCCCGTAGGGCGTCTTGTTCGAACGCGTCATTCCGCTGTCTCGTCCGTATGGTAGATCCTAAGCGGTTATGTAAGTTACGTAGTGCTTCCCGACCGCGTGGGTTCTGTTTAGCTTATTGCTGTTCGTGTACAAACTTATTAAGAGTTGGTGCGTCACTGCCGAAAGACTGATCATCTGAGCCCCGGGAATGATATCTCAACCCTGGGTGTTGACGATCGAGACCCTTGATCCGAAATGCTGGAATATCGTCCTCGGGGATTCCCTGCTGGACCCCTAGTTCTCAGATTCCGATGGTGGGCGAGTGCTCTGTTGAACAGGATGTGGTTGTCCTGGGTGTGTACGCTGCAAGCGTTGTTCGTACTGCTCGAGCAACGACTGATACATGGTCAACAGCTCTGTCAATTGTTGTGAAGAGCCTTGCCCGTGTACAACCCCTGGTCTATTGTTGCGCCGACGGTGGCGCTGGCGCTTTACCGGCGGGAGACGTAGGTTGCTATCGCGGTTTGCAACCTTACTTCCCCTGTCGAGGCATTGCTGTACCGACGATTGTTGGTCTGAGAACGTCGAATCAGAGCTTGTTGATCACGGACTGGCTGACAAACCGGCATTCGCTACATATTCACGAATGCCCGCCTGTTCCTCATTCGTCTGCTGGTCAGGAGTTACTGCTTGTCCATCCTCGGCTGTCTTCTCCAGCCTCTGCTGAATACTGGTTGTCCTTGCACGGTATTGTCACTGCTTGTGTGCCAGAGAAGATTGTCGCGAAGTAGCCTGATTCTTTTGGTGTCGATCATCTTGCTTGTTCATTTGTGGTTGGTTCTGAGATTCCTTCCGCGACCTACGACGTTTCGTATTAGCTAGGTGGATGCCGTCACGAATACGACGCTCAGATGGAAGATGTTGCGGCTTGGACGAGGGTTCGTAATGCAAATAGAGGTTGTTTGTGAAAGATGACATGAGCTCAATCGACCGTATCAGGTTATATTTATAACCCCACGTATCGAGAACCTAGGCGGATATTCTTTCCTCACGCCCTAATTAGTTAATTATTACCTAATTACCTATATTCGCAATTAGAATAGCTCGAGAGTGCTCCTCTCCTTTGCTCCCTTCCCAAGTACGGTTATCTCAGCTAAGAAGTTTCTTAGTCTGAGAGAACCGAACTGAGTCTTTATTTGTGCTTTCTAATTCACCAGACTCAGGTTTCTACTAGAGTGTTTTTCTCACACGCGGAGCTCCGGTATAGCTTACCGGTTCTAGCGTTAATATTTCTGATGACTCTAATATCAGGAATATTTGAATCCTAATTCCAAAACTCAATATTTGATGATTCTGAGGTTTTGGGATTTGTATTGGCTTTTTGATGATCTGGTCCTTAGATGCTGCAC